CATCCAAAAGCCTCCAAAAGCATCAAATCTGAATGGAAATCTCCAAAATTTGAATAGATATCTCCATCCAAAAGCCTGTAAGATAAGCAAATCCCAGCAAACTCAAAAGAGAAAAAGTAAACTATAACAATAAAAAATATTCCACTACAACTATCCCTGCCAAAAAAAAGAGACATTATTCTGGGGGCCTTTATTAATCTGTGCAGGAAAAAAAAAGACATTATTCTAGGGGGCTTTATTAATCACAGGTCAACATTAGGGGTTTCATAGGTCTCAAACACTCCACGGGACTGCCATACTGCCATTCAAGTGCCGACCCAGAAAAAAAAACAAACAAACAAACACAAGACTGACTGACCACCGCCCCTGGCCAGAATTCACTCTCCGGCATTTTTTTTGTGGGTCCCGTGCCAAATGGGTCGTGCCATGGCTTTTATCAGTTCTCCCCTTGGTGACCAGGTCGTCTGATCCATCCTCGGAGGGTCGAGTCCCGACGGCGCCCCGGCGATGAAACCACACGGCCGGAACGAAGAGAACGGTCGTGGACAAAGCGATTCTGGGGGAAGGCACCGGAATTGCGGGCTGGACACAAATACCAGATTCTCACCAGGTTTGGCGATTGAACCAGTTCGGGAAAGAATATCAATCCACCTGAGCTTTGCAAACACCCAGCCTTTCTCACAAGCACTGATGGTGGCCTAAGCCGGTGCCGTCCTTCCCGCATGGGAAGGGACACGCTTCGCACGAAAGTGGAACGAGGGAGTCCACGGGGGGTGCCAAAGGGGTCAATGGGTCGGCATATGCCATGGAGCGTTTGGGATACTGTAAGGTGCTTTCGATCTACCTGAATCTATACCTTTTGGATCCTTTTGGGGGATAATCATGGACCTAACATGACCTAACTTTCTCGGGAGAGCATCAACGGCAGAAGCATTTCTGCCATTTCACTGCCATTTCTCGTCTAGTCTTCAAAGTGTCTGTTCGCATGCACATTCCTGAGGCTGTCACATTGAAGACAGTGATGTCTGGCGTGAGTTTGTCCTGTGCGTTTCCGCTCCACTGCGCTGTTCGCGAACTTGCTGAAGATGGATCTACCCAGACGCTCCGTTCACAGCTCGACTGGTACCTCAAAACCCTAGGGATTTGAGACCCCAGACCCCTCCATATGAGGGCCCATGAGCGTCTGGGTAGGCAAACAAAAGTCTTACCCTAAGGATCCTTGGACCCTCCTTAGAAGGGGTCGAACCCTCTAGTTCACAAGGGTTTGTACATGTTTGTGCCCTCAAAACACTTGTTTTGTTTCGGGTGCGGATCCTTAGGGTACCGCACATGTCCCACAACATGCAAACCGCACACGTATCACGTAGAAAACACCTGTTCATCACCTTGACTTGGAGCCTGAGGGTCTCGGAGACAAACCAAAGCTTTCCATTGGAAGAACCACGCATACCGAAACAAAGCAACAAATCACTCTAAGCAAACTCAAGTTTTTCATGACAGATCAATCCGAGCTACTCTCCGCACGTGCCAACTCCAGGAACTTTGCCCTCCCTTCGGAAAACCGCAAGACAAACACCACACACATCAACCCCACACACCAAACGTTCGTCACCTGGCCAGCCGGGCCTCCTGCAAGCTCTCATGGAGTTGGACAGCTTCCTCTCCAGCCGGCGACAACGCGGGCGAGACGGAATCGTGGTACGTGGAGCACGTGGCTCCACGCGTGGAGCACGTGGTCCCTCTGTTCGAAAAGTATAATCGGTCCCCACCAAAATGTACTTGTCTTGGATATATATATATATATATACAGGCTATCCCATATATTATAGCATTATAGGTACCATTAGGATCCATGAGGTACCCCAGGTTTTCCGGGTCCTAGTTTAGGTCACAAAACACCTCTCTGTTTCATAGTCTGAGGAGAAAAGAAGAGATTCTGGAGGTGCGTGTTGGGGCCTCCAGAATCGGAGATCGTGTTCAATCTCGGCTTCCGAACTAGTAGCAAGCACACTATGCTCGGTGGAGGCCATCGCAAGCAGGTTAGAGGCCATCGCTATAGTAACAAGAAGCTAGTAGTAGCGATGGAAAGCCAGGTTGACAGGTCCCTTTCCATCTGTTCTTGCGAAAGATTGTGACACATCAAGTAAAAAAGGCTTTGCATGGTTACCCTGACTGGGTAGGTATACATTTTTGGCATTCTGGGAACCACTATCATTGATATTGTACTAATACGATATACCTGATAGATGTACATTGTTGGTTCTTAGTAATCTGCAGCTGTCAAAGTGAAACCAATACCAACCTTTAGCGGCCCGGGATGCCAACTCTCTCAGACTCTCATGTTATATAAGTGTGCTTCGAAGGCAAAAGATATCCCGATCTTTGAGGCCCAGAAACGCCCAGGGTTTTTGCCCACCTTCTGGGGAGCAATGTTTTTGCATGACCAACTCCAGGACCTATTACTCTTCGGTCCGTTCCTGTATGGCCTACTTCTCGGGTCAGACGGGCATCCACCGCGCACGTTTGATCCGAGTGCCCCTGCCCCGGCGCCTGCCATAAATGCCCGCGCTCGCATGCGGAGATGGCCTGGCGCTGGTGGATGTCACCGGTGCAAAAGGTCGTGGAGAAGAGAACCTAATCGACCTGGAAGAACCTGCAATTATTTACTTGGATATTGCTTATTAAGACACTTGGAAACAATAGAAGTTGTCACCAGAAGGGGGGTTTAATGCTTAACCATAGGGAACATAAAAGATCACCTGAATGAAAGCAACTAACATGATGTTTATCCATGGGGGGCTAACGATTGGCTAACGATTACCTAGCATTCAACATTACCCAAACACGACCCGCCTGGGAGTGCCATATTGACCAATCAAGCCAGGGGTAGTGCCAGCGGGGTCAATATAAGTATATGTATCATATATGTGGCCAAGCATTAAAAAGGTCTAAGAATGGTGAGCCAAGCATTCTTAAGGGTTTCATCTACCATAGATTGCCATAGATGGCGGTCCCAAACGGGTCGTGTCTCATGATGTAGGGCTCAAAAACGTATCCCGTGAGTTGGACCTCATGCAAGACTGCCACATGAGCGGAACAAACACACACGCCCATACCATACCGACCTATAGGGTAATCAAAACAGACCCTAGGGATCCATTCGTACCTTCTCAACAGGTGATTGGAGACACCGCTATGTAGGTTTGGAGGGTCCAATCACCTGCTGAGAAGGTACGACTGGATCCCTAGGGAGAGTGGGTCTTAGGACTTGTAGAGGGTCATGCTTTATTCAACATGACTGGATGTTCCACAACAAATTCCCACACGCCGCGCGGTCAGCGCGGTCAGCGCGGTTGCCGGCGCAGCCAGGCGTACCGCGCTCAGGGCCGGCACATTGGGCTGCAAACGTCGTTGCCGCATCCTCGCCGTCGAAGGGGAGAAACACGCAGCTGTCTAATAGAGTATTTTGGATAGTTTTGGTGAATTTATCCACATGTCGTGTTAGGGGGCGAGGTCAACAAAGCCAGAAGGAGTGAGGATCAAAAGGGGTCCTGACCATTCCGGGCCTCAACTCTTGCTTCTTCCGTGTTAAGATACAGTATCTGTTGATTTTTCCACATTGATGGATTGTTTGGGTGTGCTTGGTCATGTGCATCCTGACATGAGGGGACACCCTGCATGAACGGACTAGAGGAGGTATGCCTTTTCTAACTTATTGGAGGTGTACCTTTTGGGACTAGGGTCTTGCTTGCACTGGCAACGGCCGCGTGCAAAGAAGGAAGCCATTCATTTACCAAACGCTTTCCCCTAGGCTTCCAACAACCACTAATTTAATAGGCCGAATCCCGAATCAACTAAGGATTTTACACCACAAAAACCAGGTCAACCATTTTTTACCTACTTTCATCTAAATGTCGCTCTATGTCCCTCTCACTATTTCAAAAGTCGCGTTGGCGGTGAACAACATCGTTGGTGAATCTACACTCTGACTCACTAACATGGAAGTGGAAAACCACCTGTTTGCAAAGGAACATAGTCATCCAACAGACCATCTTCCACGTCCATGTTAGTGAGTCAGAGTGTACAATGAACTGAATTGAATGGTCCAGCTCTGGTGTCTTAGCACTGCTTGTTTTCGCTATCGCCGCTGTTAGCGACCCCAGAGGAAATCGCGATTTTATCGTGCTGTCAGGTTGATGCTTCCTCGTTGATGTGGGGTGGGCTGGGGCATGTTAACGTTCGCTTGCACTTGCGTCACGAAGTTGATGCT